TTTTACTGGTGTAAGCCATTAATAAACAATACTTCCCTTCCTGCCCGTAAAACAATCTGTCAATACAAATCTTGTATTATGCATTTAAGGTGCAGTTATTTGGTGCAGCACTGGTTTTCTTTCATTTGTTTGATCTGTGCTAATGTTAGTTTCTGTCAAACAGTACTGTAGTGTTAACATCCAACCAAAGCTGAATGACTTACAGACTCTCATATTGCCAAGTTTCTTATCCACCACACAACATGCATACTGTAAATCTATATATATTTAGACAAACTATTCAATTTGATGAGATGAAAGGGAAGGAAAGAGGCAATGAGAAGAAGGAGAAATGGAAAGGAAAGAAGGGAGGTGATGGGAAGAGAGAGGAAAGCAAAGGGAATGAATAGAGGAGAGGAAAGGAAATATAAGAGTAAAGTAAAAGAAAGGCAAGAAGAGAGGAGAGGATGAAGCACAGGGAGCATATGACCATTGTTAGTTTCACTGCCCTGGGCAACACTCTCCTTGCATCCTTCCTCATGTTGTTCTTGACCTCACTTCTCCTCATCCTCTTTTCACTCCTCTTGAACCTCCCACCCTAAGGCAGGGAGGCAGGAGCATGCAGACGATGGCATGTATGGATTGTTTTCCCTCTCTTTGTTTCCTCCTCATCACCCCAGTAATGTATGAGCAGATGCATTTGGCTTTGTGCACATGTAAGCATGTGTGAGGGTCTTTATGCAGATCGTGTTGTCGTTCTGTGTGTGTATATGTGTTTCTTTTTCTCTGTGTGAGCGTCCCAGAAAAGACAGACCTCAGGGAGTTGTGCTCTACTTTCACTCCTTTATTAATTCACCCTTTGCTGCCACTCTGTTTGCCAGGATGGACAGGAGGGAGAGCGAAGCAGAAGGTCAAAGAGGGAAGACAAACATTAGGAAGTGAATGAGTTCAAAGGCGAGTCGAGACAGACAGTGAACGCTAATTTTTGTTGTTTCTCTAGCGCTTGTATTGAGGAATTGCATGACTTTCATTAACACTGAACATTTGGGGTTTTTTAAAAACATTTTCATTAGTGATCATTTGTCAAATCCCTGAGAAACTGCAGTTATTCATCCAACAGGGTGAAGCAGCCAACAGACTGTGGGTAGGCAGGACAGTCAGCACTCAGAGTATTTAGAGCGACAAAGACTTTGTCGTGTGAGCTTTTTGAAACTGAGGGGAGGACCATGGAGCAGTTTCCCTCCATTTTATTGTATCTTCATTCACTGGTTTTGTGAAAAATGCACACCGCTGCAGAGATTTTGATGACAGTGCTTCCCTGCTGTATTTCAGCTCTGTCAAAATTAAACTTTTTGGCCCAAGAGAGGAGCAAATCTAATCTGAATGTATGTATGGTGAGACAGTGTTGGGTTTGTTGGGGATGCTTATTTACTTTTGCCTTGTCCATGGGTGAAGCTTATGTGGTTGAGGGCCTGTACTCAGCCTTGTATCTTTAGGAATTAAACTTATGTTGGACGATTTTGTAGCTCACAATTTACATCCTTTGGCAATACAGAAAGAAGTGTGCCCCATTTGTTGCGAGCTGGAAAATAAGGGTTTCTTGTGTCCTGTCACACACTTGTCATTAAAGTGGCTGTGATCAGTATTTACTGTATATAACAATGTGTCATAAGAAAATGTGACAATGTGAAAGAGGACAGTCAGTGAATTATCACCTGGATCTGCAGCTCCCCTCAATATTATGGAGCTTTAGTGAATTTCAATTAATTGTTCAGTTGAAATTCACTAATCTCACCATTCTCTCATAGACCTGATTGTTTTTGGCCGCAGCAGGGGCAGCTGCTTTCAGTGAAACGGCTCTAAAAATCCACTCCACATAACCTGCTCAACGTGAAACAGCAGCCAGACCAAGTTAGCAGGTAGCTGGTGAACACAGTGAAGCAATGAGCAGCAAAAGAGCAAGACATTTTGCTCAGTAGTTGGTTGAGACCAAAAACAGAGCTAACAGTGAGCACTCACATGCACCAAGTGGCCAGAAACAACTCCAAATGAGTCATGATCTTGCTTTGTGACTACTGGATGTGTAAACTCTTTGTTGGCAAGTTCCCTGTTGTCATGATCTCTGTAAGACCTCCTGCTTTATGCTTTTATTTGGACACACTTCTGCTGCTTTATCTGATCCAGCTTTACTTCACCAACCATACTTACCTGATTTTAATCAAGAATCTGACCCACTGTGTATTTAAGCCAGACTCTCACAGGCTGTTGTTAGATACTGACCTAGGAAGTGGTGTTCTGTTTTATGTTTCTACTGTTTAGCTTGTTGTTGTTGGTGTGTGTGTGTGTGTGTGTGTGTGTGTGTGTGTGTGTGTGTGTGTGTGTGTGTGTGTGTGTGTGTCAGTCAGTCACTTTAAGTGCTTGCTCTTCATGGACCTCCCTATTTTTCTTGCTTCTGGTACTCATTAATGGACTCACATCTCCCAGGTTTGTCAAGTCATATTTTCTTAACATTCAGCTTGTTGTGTTAGTTAAGCCATATTTGTTTCATAAGACAGGTGTGTATTTTGTAGTAGCCTAACAATAGATCTCAATCATTAAAATAATTGTTCTATAAACTTAATTGTTCTATAAAGTTCCTGGTTGTCTGCATTTGGTTTAAGCCTTTTCCCCAAACTGAAATGCTCCTTATTAACTTAAAATGTGATGTTACTGTTATTCATAACTTACATCTTCTGCTCTCAGCTGGCCAAACATAATGTACTGCAGCTTTAAACTTTTATTTTTTTTTATGAACCATAACCACGGTTTCCCTACTTCATGCTTCAGCTAGCATTTGAAGACTTGCATAAAATGCTTTTGTAAATTGCACTTGAGCATTGATATTAAATGTAGTCTTGAGTTATGCAGGAACAAGGTCACAGTATACTCAGTGATTTTTTTTTTTCCTCTTAACCTAAAAATATATTTTGAACCGTTACAGACCCAAACCTGCGTGCCAGTTGTGTTTACTGTCCTTGACATCTCTACAATAGCCATGGACTTCTTTTTCCTCACTCTTATCATACTGAATAACAGAGATGGCTCAGATTTAATAAGGAGCTTGGTTTGTCTCTGATAGGCACAGTAATATGCATGTTTGATATGAAAAGGGCTAGAAAAGCATGAATTAAAGTTTTAGTTGACCTGAAGCCTGCACCTCCCAAGAATTTTTATGGCAATAACATGATAACAAAAGCTCTGGTAAGAGATGCTAACCTTGAAAAGTGAGTATAAAGAATACAATTATAGGAAAGAATGCTGCTTTTATTTTGAAATGAAGAGTGGTTAAACTGTGGAAAAGGTTGGGTGAAGCAGAGTATACAGCGCTATATAATGCAGTATATTTGTGCATGCTCTAGCTCGAAGCATACATTTGGCACAGGATTTTGACTGTCATGATCCCCGCAGTGACTCATACAGTGTCACCATGGTGATGAGCACATTATTGGATGTCCTCTGGATTACTTGGATGGACACAACGCAGAATGCTGCTGATGTTTTATTGATGGTTCAACCTGCTGTTCATTTCGCAACCAGCTTAAGAATTAATTCCAGACTGTCAAGCAGAATGTTCATTTCATGTTTGGCCTGTACAGATTTTGTTTAGTGTTAATGGACTGTTTTGTAAATGACTAGGAATGATGTACAAATTGGTGATGAGGGCACAAACAGTCATATAGCTGCATACATGTGTGAAAAGACACAGTACAGTTAAAAAACAAACAAAAAAAAACTTTAATCCATTTGAACATGTAAAGAGACATTAACTGGTGTACGTTATGTTTCTAAGGAGGCAAAATTAAATAACTGCAGCCTTGACCCACACACTTTTTTAAAATGCAAAATGCATTCAATTAAATAAAAATGTGTAGCAGTAATGCTGAGTTTTTTTTTTTTTTGTATATTTGCAAGACACTGAAGACACAGGTATTCAAATGGTTTGAGGGGGAAAAAAATGGGCACTTTGACAGTGTTTCGTTAAGACTGACTTAAAACAGAAGCGACCCCTGTGTCAGGGATACAATCAAAAGAAAGTGTGCAGACAGCGATGACAAATCACACAATGCAGGAGCAGAAAAATCATCAGTATTTCACTTCGAAGACTGCTGTTGTCTTTCATCAGTGCCAAAACAGTTATTACAACCCAGCATTGTCGCACTGAGATTTTATTTGTGCTTTTAGCTCAACTGTGTTAATGGAAATGAGCTGGGGTTTTTTGTTTTTTTTAGGGGGGGGGGGGGGGGGGGGGTGGGGGTTTTGTTTTTTTTTTCTGCAATAAATATTATGTTCATGTTAAAAATAACTCTGCCACTGCCTACCTCTCAATATCAGGTTCTTTAAGCAAGAAAATTCTTTCTCCAGGTAGTGAGAGAGAAATGAAACCAGATTACAAAGAATTTTCTAGTAGCTACTTTGCTGTTTGATCAATCAAAATTTAACATGGCATCACTTCATGTGACCTATTCCAAGTAATTCCCATTCTTGCATGGTATTTTTCCAATCATACAGTAGTTTAGGAACCATAGCTACACATGGCACAGACAAAACACAGCAGCAGAAGTCTAAGGAATAGAATATTATTATTAGAAAGGCCCTCATTTAGGACATCATCATCACATGAGCATGCACACTGCAGAAACTCAAACTGTGATTCAACATTACCACTACCTCTATTTGCAGGGAGAATAATGCTATGATTAAAGTGCAACTGAAGACAACATCAGACAACCACTATTGAATTTTTGTTTGTGAACTAGCAAAAAAAAAAGGCTAGGAACAATTATTTTAACTAGACAAAAGCAGACGTTTACTTCAGTATGAAGTCAGGAATCCATTATTACACAGGTAAATTTGCTGCTGTCATCCCTGTAAACTCCAGCAGAACAAAAGTTCAACAGGTGTAGCATCTATAACTGCCGGGGGGGGGGCTTAGTAAAGGGTTGCTTGATTAAAGGAACCTTTTTTTCTTTTTGTTCACACAGAAAACCTATATGAAGACGATACAAGATTCAACAAGAGTTCTGCTACTGACTGCTTAAATGAACGACAAATGTAAGAAAATGTTCAGCAGAGCGTGATACCCATAAGGCCTTGCAGGGGCCCAGTGGGCGGGGTTACAAGGAGGCAGCAATGAATCTGACCAACCAAAGGCCGTCACCTGGGGATATAAGCTCCGCCCATAACTGATCTCCAGGGTGACAACTGGACCATCACCTCATACGCCAGCATTTGAAACCTCATTGGGCCACAGAACAGGTAGGAAACGAGGAGGAGAGCAGTGGAGCGGAGGACGTTCTGTACCTCATGTCCTCAGAGTTGTTTGTCAGTATCTGCAGCTTTTCTAATTATCACTTGAACGGTAGAGGATGGGAAACAAAAAGAGGAGGTGATGGGTGGGGATGAAAAGTGTAAAAGCAAGAAGAGGTGGAGAGCCTAAAGAGGTTTAACAGTTTATGGAAGCAAGGTAAAGTTTAAGGATTGAGAAGGAAAGAGGATGAGATGCATTTGGTTGTACACGGGAACGTGACCAAAAGTTTTGGGGGTTGGGGGCATAATGTCAAATCCTGCATATTTTTTCACCTGTGCACCTGGTTGTTGCAGGAATGAAAGGTGTACCATGGCTGACAACAACAGTAGGACTTTTGTTTGGTTTGTGTGTTTGTCAACCAGACACCAAAGCTGGGATATATTACTCTTGTGAGCAGGCGCTCATATCAAGTTGCCAATGTCTGTTGTGGGAATTAAGTTTATTACCTACAAGATTCAGATATAGACACAATTTATATCTGACTGAAAGATTATTTCCCACTGTGCTTCATGTACATCCTTCAGATTGATATGTTTTAATAACCAACCCAAAGTCTTTCTTTCTTCCTGGTGAACTAGACACTTTCTTTTCAACATTAAATTAAGCATTACTGCATAAATACGGTGCACATTCAAGTTTCCAACAAGGAATTAAAAATACACTAACCAATAAAATGTGATCTTTGTATCACAACCACACGTGTGTATTTTCTGAGTGTGGGCTTATATGGGTCAGGTTCAATGTAACAGACTTATTGTCCATAACCCCGCCCCCCGCTCTGTTCTTCCTTTCTCTGTTTCTCTGTCTGCTGTTGCCATGGAAACCAGTCCTACCCGGTTCGCTGAGTCAGGAAAAGGAGGGTGTAGTTTGACTGGGGTAGTCCTGTCAGAATCACTAGGTGGCACCTCAGACTCATGTATCAAACATCTTTAAGCTGCTTGTAACAGCTCAGAGGTACGGAGTCACATTCAGCTTTAAGTATCAATCCAGTGCACTCACTTTGAAGAGTCTCATTGGCTTAAGGGGGAAACTTAAAAAGGAAATCCTCCCCTTTAAGGCTGTTTCACTAATTTCTCACTGGGCCCTGCAGCTCAATATCAGTTTAGTTTAACAGAGTTATATAATAGGCTATGGATTCAGTGGAGTTAATCTTGATGAAAGATAAAATGGGAACTTGATCTTTCAGGAAAACTGCTGCATTCTAAAGGAAAAGTAGATCTTAAATAGTGACCTCAGGCTTAATGCACTAAGTTTAAACTCCACTTTAATCGTCACAAATGTTTTAACAGGCTTGATGTTCTTTCCTTTCTGTCAAATCCAGCGGCTTCTCTCTCAAACACTTATAGCCCACTGGAAATGGCATTACATTAAATGACCAGTTCACTGTTTCCCCAATGATGACACCATATTCCATTAAGGAAGTGTGATGATGGATCTTTGGACTCACTGCATATAAGGCTGACATAACCAGTTGTTAGAGGAAAACCTTTTGCTGTTAGTTTAAAGCTCCTTTCATGCTCAAAGTAAAATCAAACAAATCCTGGCCAAGGTATATCTAATATGCATTTCCTAGGAGTTGGGACAATCACTCATAATTCTGAAAACTTGCATAAATGCAACCAACTTGGACTTTAAGATTAAACAAGTTCTGCAGAGGTGACTGAGGTTGAAGGTGTCTAGATAAACTTAACTGCTATCAGTGTAATCCAACCAGCCAGACCAATTCAGTTGTATCTGCAGGCTATGATATAAATGACTCCAGTGCTATTTTCTTTTTGTTTATCTTGCAACAAAAATTTACATAAAACGTACAACTCGTGCATCCCTTGGGAACTGTTTTTCTCACTAAGTGCCTCACAGTCCCAGTGGGGGACACGACTGCACTGTAATTATCACAGTGCAAAGTAGTGCCAGGATGTTCCAGTGCTGTTTTCCCTTTGTATATGGATCTCTAAAATATATAGACTTTTGTGAGGTTTTGAGGATTGAGTGTTGCACACTTTTCAGGCCACAAGAGTGCACACTACAGTAAGCCGAAATATGCATCATCAACCCAGAATATTTAAAGACTATCTTATGAACCATAACATTTGAAATTAATCTGCTGTGATGATTGTGTTGATGCCATGTCTGTTTAATTTTTACAGTAAAAAATACTGCCTGTTACTTTATGACAGGAGCAGGCATAAGAAATAACCTGGAGTCGAATGTCTGGCTGTGGTACATGGACAAATCCTTGGCTGGTCTCTGATGGTAGAATCTATCAGTGTAAACTTGATTCTGTAATACTAGTAGAAAACATTTCTACTCATTATGGGTCAGCAGTAGTACAAAGTGTGTTCTGTGCTCTGGATGGCAGGATTCTTGCGCATACATTTTTTAAGTAAGAGGAGATTTACTACCTCTAGGTTTGAGTCTATTATGTGTATAAGATTGTTTGTGTGCTTCTTTAAATAGCTCCTTGTGAATGGAATTTGCCTTAATGACTCTTTTGTGATTGCATTTTCTTCTCCGTAGAAGAGGACAGTTGGGCAAGTCCATAGTAATTGAAGCAGTTGCAAATGAATCACATGGGACTGAATCTTCAGTCTGAGCTCAACTGAACAAAGTTAATGGCTTTTGGGAACGACTCCTGTGTGACTCACTCCTGGGGCCACATTACAGGAATATACAAATGAGAAAACCCTGTTTTAATCCCACTTAAGAAAGCAGTTTAGTTTTTTTTCTGGGACAGAGGGAGAGTTGCAAAATGCACAATGTTTGTTAATAATGGTAAACACTTTTATTGGCCAATATGTTATATACACACAAGAATTTCTGTCCAGTAAAAAACTGAGGCAGCCATCTTGATCTGATAGTGTGCTTCAAGATTGATTTAGATTGATCTAATGAAGTGAACATCTGGAACATACTTCTCTCTGCTTTTTTTTTAATTGAGAATGGCACCTTCTCTGGTTGCAGCCTCTTCACTATGGGGATTTGCTAGTTCTCTTAAATAATTTTAAAGTGAACATGGTTGGGTTTTAGACTTGGACAAAACAAGCAATTTCCAGATATCACCTTGTGCTTTATACAGTTTTCACCCATGTTTTGGCAGTTGTCAGATCCTAACACACGGTCACTGTTAAGCAAAATAAAATGGAGTTAAACTGACTTGAAGAGTAAGAATACACTTCATGTCACAGTTAGGTGTGTGTGTATAGCATGAGTGAAATGTGAGCTGTTATGTGGCCTGTACAGAGCAGTATTTATTCAAAGTTATCTGTTTGGTCAGACACGCAGGAGAGCAAAGGAAACAAGACACAATGTAATCTCTATTTGTCAGCGCACAGTTATCAGGAAATCATTGCCTCCAACTATTATGTTACAACTAAGGAACATATTGGGCAATAGTTGCATCACTCCACACATATTAACAGTCTTTTAGTCTCTTTATCTCTTCTCTGTTCATCTTTATCTATCTATTTGCTCCTCTTCCTCTCTGCAGGTATCCTTTCTTCCTCAGTGATCACAGGAATGGTTGCCATAGCAACAGAGAGACTAGAGTGAAGTGAAAAAGAGAAGAAAGTGGCACTTCATCAATTTCTGCCTCCCAGCATCTCTCTTCCTCTCTACATCTGTTTTCTTTTTTCCCATTCACATAGATGCTTCTCCTGGAGCTTTCATCTGTTCCTTCTTCCCTCCAGCTTTATCTCTAATCCTTTTCTATCCCTTTGTGTCCTAAAGTTAAGGGCCAATTATACCTTCTACATCTGTGAAACATGGTTTATGATATACACAACTGCACTTTTTGCTGTGTTTATGTGCTATATGCAGCAAGAGTCCTCCCGTTTTTTTAAGTGGGGAAGGGTTGATTCTTGCTTGAGGTCCTTTACGTTTTGTTGTGTGTCAATTTAAAGCAGGGAATTAAAGTTGCACAGAGTGTCTCCTGACTGAAAGGTTTCCATTGTTAGATGGCAGTTTCTTCACTTTTTATCATCCACTTTCAAGTTTCTTAAATGCAAAATAGATGCTGTTTATCATATTCTATTCTAAATAAACTAAGAAAGGTTTTTTTTTTAACGGAAAAATTCATAGGACACTCAACACCAAATGGAAATAAGATGTTTGTCCTCATGTGGTGTAGGCTATGTGCTAGAGAAGGAGTGAGTGAGTGTGTGTGTGTGTGTGTGTCTGTTTTAATCTCATTCATATATTCATCAGCAGGCAGAAGTGCTGACGCAAGTGAGAGGAGGCATGGAAGTGAGAGGCAGAATGTGTGAGATAAGGTGTGTGGAGGAGAAAGAAATCCAGAAATTCAACCATCTATTCACCCAGAGCGGTAATGGTGATAGGTGATGTCGACATTAAACATACAGAAGTTAGACTGAGAGAACAGGGAGGTTGTCAGAAAGAGAAGATGAAATAAAGGTGGAGTGTCCTGGAATGATGTAGACATTTCAAAAAAAGGACAGGGAAAATCAATTAGCTTCTCTGTTTTCTTACAGCAAAAGCAACTCTAACCTCAGTTCTGTAAGATTTATTTAGGATCAGAAAGCAATCAAATCCTCAGATGCAGACCGAAATAACACTGATGTGCATATAAAGCTTTCTCCTGTGTCTATCTCTACTTAGTCTTGTGCTGGTAACCTAAAAACTGAAATGTGCAAAAATAGTCATATGACAGAACATATGACAGAAATCAAACAAACAAGGTTAGAGAAGGAGAAATTATAAATACTAGATTAGGGAGAGAAGAGAAATGATAAAACGTGGAGTATAAAGAGAAGGATGACAAGATCCTTAATGTTTGACCATGTTGATCATTACCCATAATTCAGGGGGAGTGTCCACACTGTGGACAGCTGCCTGAATCTCAGAGCTAACCAGGTGTGACATGCGTTAGTTTTGTCAAGGCTGGTTACCCCGGTAATAAAATGAATACATGACAGTTATTTATTGTATCATG